AGTAGAGCTGCGGGTACCGGTCTTGGTAGGGGCTGAACTGCGCATCACGGCAGCCAGATTCTCCAGGGCAGTTTCTGCAGTTGTTTGTACTGTGGACACACGCCTGCAGGACACACAAAACTAAGATGGGCACCTGTTAATGTGAAGCTAATACTAAAAACAACTAATGCAGCATGCCCCGGACTGCCTGCGTGCTTCATAATTCAGGAGGGCTGCTCTCACTACGCACTTGCTGTATTTGAGAAGGGTGGGGTGTGCCTTGCCTTTTAAACAGTACTGGGAAGAACAGGATGAAAAGAAGAGGGTGATGGAGGAGGAGAGCTGGAGCTGGATTTTTCGGGTGGGGGGAATAGTACAACCCCTGAGATGTGCTGGGCTTCCCTCTCAGGTGGTGGAAATGAAATTGGGTCTTTTAAAACTAGACAGGGGTGCTGGGGAAGGGAGAGCAGGGTCTTGCCCACCTTGGAGAAGTGCACCGGTCAGTTCACTTTTAAAGTGTGCCCAGCTAGGTGGGTTCACACCTAATGCATTTCAGCCAGTTTGCCCCTTTCTTCCCATATTGGTACGTTCCAATGGAAGCAGCTGGCTCTAAACTGATCATGAACGGGACTGCAGCTCTGGCCAAGCTCGGGTTGAACCGGAAAGCTTTGTGCGAGCACGCTCCATAGGTCCTCTTTGCCTTGTCCACGGCACAGCCAAGTAATTGCACTTCGCTCTTGTTCTAGATGGACACCAGCTAAAGCAGCGAGCACATCCCCTGCATGGAAAGGACTCCAGACATCTCATTCCATGCTCTCCGGAGGGAGGGGTGTACGACTGTGGCTACTACTATCAAGGACGGAATTTGTTTTACTTTTATGTTTTGGAATAGGTTTTAAACTCATGTAAAGGTTTTTTTTAATTCTGAAACAGACCTGTTTTGTACCGAGTTATTTTTGGGAAAAATTTTACTGGTTGCCTGTTGGGCGGAGGTGGCTTTTTCACCTTTGCTGTAATAAAATAGAACTGTGTCTAGATCCCTAAACGTCTGCTTCCTGTTGCAGCTGGAGACGGACGGCAGGAGCAGGTGGGCGGTGGTGGGCAGGCCCCTGTCGCATCCTGTGCTAAGTCCCTTGCATGTGGGAGGAGGCTACTGTTCTGCCTTGGCTCTTTTCCCCTCCCCAGCGTCAGTGCCCGCGTGCAGATGCGGGGGGAGCTGCCCCGCCCCGCCCCAGCCGCACAGACACGGGAGCGTAGCACGTTGCTGGAGTGCAGCTGGGCAGCGCTGGCCCCTCTGTGGCTTGCCCGGCCCCCGCTGCTGCGCCAAGCCTGGCTCTGAGGGGCCCAGGAAAGACTTGGTCTTTCAGTGACCCCCCCGCCCCCTGCTCGTTTCTCGGAGGGGCCTCGTGTGCCCCTCTCCGCCCC